AAATAAATACATAAGAGACATGGAAGACATATAGAGTACATGACTCAACCTGTAAGTATGAATCACTTTGTAGATCATAAATTACTTTTAGCATCATGTATGTGTGCATGAATGTCATGTCGTGCATAGGTAAATGTTTCATAACATCATCAGCCTCTGAGGGCATTCCATTATATCATACCGGCCACTGTGGGCAAAATCATCATCGTATACCAGCTGATCAGGTGGTGGTGCGGATATAATGCCATAACCTTTCCCATATCCCATATACATATCTTTACATATATACGCGTATATAACGCCATTTGAGTACATATATATATATATGCGTATATAACACCGTTTGAATCATATTTCAGCCACTGTGGGCAACATCATCATCATATACCAACTGATCAGGTGGTGGTGCGTATATAACGCCATAACCTTTCCCATATCCCATATACATATATATACATACATATATACGCGTATATAACGCCGTTTGAATACATACATATATATGCGTATATAACGCCATTTGAATACATACCCATATATGCGTATATAACGCCGTTTGAATCATATTTCAGCCACTGTGGGCAACATCATCATCATATACCAGCTGATCAGGTGGTGGTACGTATATAACGCCATAACCTTTTCCCATATCCCATATACATATATTTACATATATACGCGTATATAACGCCGTCTGAGTCATGGGTCAATGTACATGTATAAATGCATGAAATGCATATGAAATATAATAACAAAATCTCTCGACACGTCATAAGACCATTATACCTCTGATTAATATCATAACATCATTTTACGTATTTTCTGAGACCCATGAACAGACGATGGAATAATAATACATATGAAAATTCAAGAACATATGCACTTCTAATACTTCTATGAATAGAGTCATATATGGAATTTGTGCATTTGCACGTTTTGTTCGTATCATATGGATCATGCCAAAATAAAGAAGGGATAGCCTTAACATACCTGGAGTAGAAACAACTCCGTATAATTATCTCGTCGGAAACCTTCGTGGATTGAACTTAGACCCAAAAAAAATGAATTTAAGAATCGAAGCTTGGTCCTATGTTAACGTTGAATTGTTCTGATTTGTGGGGTGAAGTTTGAACGTTTGGATGCTTGAAATTGCTTCTGCTTTTGCCTCCAACGTTTTGTGCAAAACAGTATAGATTAAGTCACTTTTTGAATTTGAACTCTTTGGCTAAGAGTTCTTGGACGAAATGGGGGTATAATCTGGTCCTCACGTTCTCTTTCCAAAATCAGAAAATGTAACAAAAATGTTGTTTTTATCCATTCCATTTTCTATATAATTAAAAGTCTTTACTAGATAAGGCATTTGTTATTAGCCTTGACACATGTAAAAGTAGTGTATGACTCACCCTAAAGTAAGAAGGGGTTGCCACGTCCCTTTTTGGTATAATCTTATTAATTTTATCCACTTATTTGTTAATCGGGTAATGTTTCGTTACCCGGTAATTAATTTATAACCCGCATAATTTAAAAATTATCTCAACTTAATTAAATACTACTCTTTTTTTTAACAGACCATGTACACCTTACTATCATGGCCATGTGGTACCTTTTATGGTACTAGTTTATAAATAGCGGGTAATTTAGCTCGGGGCGTATTTTACCCCAACATGCCAAACTTTGGCAAAATTCGTTTTCTTCGATATTACTTACCCTCTTACCTTCACGGATTTACTCATCACTTATAATCCTTATAATCCTCAAATAATCTTTTCCTTGGATTGATGTCAATTACCTTACGACAAATTCAATGTATAATACTACAGGGTACAACATCGTCGTAATGTAGCACTGTGGGACATGGTATCTCACTTCCGGGCTCTTATTAATTTATTTATGGCATATTTTCATGTACGAAAATATGGGGTGTAACATATCGCATATCTTGTTATGTTTTTACTTGACATCAATACTTCCTTCGTTTGCTATAAGTACTCAATTCATATTCTCTATTGCTATCAGACCCTCAGATTTAGTTCTCGAAATATATTGTCTTGATATTACTTGATATTGATACTTCTTTCATATTCTTTATTGTCATCTTCGATTTAGTTTTCTAAATATATTGTTTTGCTATGACTTGCTATCAGCGCTTCTTCCATTTTTTTAGCCGATGGTCTATTAGAAACAATCTCTCTGCCCTTCCAAGATAGGAGTAAGGTTGCGTGCATCCTATCCTCCCCTGACCCCACTTGTGGAATTACACTGTGCTGTAATTGTTGATGATTCGGTTCTAGTACTGTGAACCACCCATTCATTTGAGGTTTAAGAAATAAATACAAATAAAAGGTTGTTAAAAGAAAAATGCAAGATAATAAAACGCTGGCAAGGCCAACGGCTAGTTTTTGAAGAAGACCGTCCAACGGTCAATAACACAAGCCTAAAGTGTCGGCGAGTTTGAAATTGAGACAGTATTCGGTATGGCCCAGAACCCGACAAAATTCGGACCTTTGAGTCGTCAATATTAAATAAGCACCTACTTGGCTGCTTTTCTTCTTTGAAAATGAAATAATATTAACAAAATAAGAAGATAAAACCAAGTGCCCTTGATAATCAATCAATAAATGAACAAACAAGAATGATCTAAATAGTGTAATTTTTAATACTTATTTCAATTAAATATATAATTTGTTGTGGAATTAATCCAGCTAGCTTTTGTATGATTCAACTACCAATGATTAAATTAGTATCTCATTTTTATCCTTGTTATTAGTTCTCTTTCTTAATGGTAATAAGATTTTTCATGTCATTATAATTACTTGAAATTTATCCCTTTTGGATATTTTCATGAAGAACACAAATTTAAATTTTATGCACTAATTTATACATTTAGTTTTTGTGTTTAATGTAGACTTATCCTTTGAGCTTGGGTAGTGATGTTGAGGAGTGCTCCATTTATCAAAGTCATTTAAGTATTACATATAAATATTGCAGTTTTAGGTTTATGGTTTACAAGAATATTTATTTTCACATATATGTATATATTATATACTGTAAATTTTAAGTCGAAATGTGTACAAACTGATAGGAATACTAGTGACAAATAAAAGAAAAAATTTAAAATATTAAGCCATTGAGAAATTTCCTTAAAAGTTAGAAATTTTAGAAAGTACAAGCTACCCAATCATTTGTTCATGAATGGACCTACAGTGGGAACATAGAGCTATTTTTGTCAATGGAGTGACATAATGACCTTGCCAACTATTGTAGATATCCCTATTGAATTGACAAATAATTGCTCTTAGGCATAGCAATTTATTGGAAATTTCAATAATTTAGGTCGGAGTATAGACATAAGAGGGTTAATATTAAGATGCTTTCGTGAGATTCTCGAGTAATTACAAAATGTTAGCTCATGTGGTTCCTCTATAGTCCATACAAAAGGAGGGAGTAATTTTTTATAATTTCCCCAATGATTAAAGAGTTAAATATAGTTTATTTTAAATCTCAAGAAAAGGAAGAAGAGACCCAATAAAAAAATATGCTAGTAGAAAAAGTATAAAATTTAATGTAATCACTTTCCAATTAGATTTATAGCGTGAAAAATAAAGTAAATGTAGATCGATTATCATTAAATCTAACACAATTTTATAAAATATAACTTAACTAGAAATATTTATACAAAACAATTGAAGTTTCTTGTAAACTAGGATTAAATTCGAAATGTGAGACAAACACAAACTAATGTTGTTACTACATTAATGGAAATTTATATATTTCTCCACTTTAACACATTTTCATAAGCATAATCCAATGTTAAATGGTACTTTTAAAGTTATATTTCACTAGTTTAATTTCTTATTATTAAATTTATGATAATATGCTCGAATTTCGTTCCAGTTGAGAACCTAGATTAGTGATATGACGATTACGATTTCACTTCACCAATGTGGTAAAAGAATGATGAAAAAAATGTGGTAAGAACTTTAAATTTGATTAAAAATATTTTCATCCTATTATTTCATTCTTTATTCACGAGTCTACCTCTAAAATTAAAATATATTTTTTTTCTCATTTTACGGTCCATATGTTCCAATTTAGTTTACCCAACAAGATAATATCCTTTTATATTTAATAATTTAAATTTACTATTTTATACTCCATGATTTATAACTAATGAGATTTATGACTTATTCAGATTATAAGTTTAAATATTCTTTTTTTTTTTAAAAAAAATCGTATCCAATCAAAAAACATTACATAAAGCAATAATAGTATGTACCTATTCTATGTACCTTCGCCTTACAAGGAACCCTCTCCTCTCTGGACTTTGTTGGCATGTAACGTACATACATCAATCAAGATTGGCTCTTTAATCCATTCATCAATGATTTATTAAAAGCCCCATCCCTTTCTGGATTTTGTGGGTGTTATTTCAACTAGGGAAATAGAAATCAAATAGACCCCTTACTCCTCTAAATCCCCACACCCATCTCTCTCTCTCCTCAATCGAAAGGTTTTTTTTTCCCATCTGGGGTTTCTCTTTCTCTCTCTAGAATTCTGTTTCTAGCACTATCTTGATGACTGTTGTTGTGTAAAAATTCAATCTTGATTATTGGTACCTGATTCTTGACTTGGGACTGATTAAAGATTTGATTTTTAGGATTGGGTTTGCCATTTCTTGGAGTTTTCTTCAGATCGGTGCTTTGTCTGATTTTAAATGTAAAAGGGGGACTTTTTTTGTATGTAAAGTTCTTTTCTTTCATGGTTGGACTTGTGTTTCTGGTTTAATTGTCAAGATAGGATCTTTTTACTTGACTAATTAGGTTTTCACTTGATGTGAAGATTTATATTTGTGTCTTTTACAGTTTTACTGACTCTTTATGTGCTTATCTTGGTGCATTTGGGATATGTGTTAATGGCAAAATTGGGTTTTAATTTGACTCAAAGTGGCTATAGAAAAGTATATCAAGTCTTGACTTTGGTTGTGATAAGCAATAAACCTTGGTTTGGATTATGTAATTTCTATTCTCCCCACTTCACCTTACTAGGGTTTTTAGTTTGTATTTGAAGTTGAATTTGATAAAGTCTATGGATTATCTTTTACTGTATCTGCTATTCAACGGATTATCTTTTACTGTATCTGCTATTCAACGGCGATTTGATGTTGTGCGAACATGGTTGGGCATATAGGATTTTGATACTGATTAGTTCTTGTGGAGTTATTGTCTCCACATAGGTTTCATCTGAAAATCGTTGCTCTGGTTATTGGTTCCATGGTGCTTAACTTTTGGCTAGGAAGCATATCATTCTCTGAGCAATGTCGTTACGTTTGACATTACACTGAAACTAGTCAATCTACCATATCTGATGATGTTGCTGTCCTGATTGTGAAGGGAATTTCCTTTTTGTAGTAGAATAGTATAAATAATCAAGTATTGCTTTCTGATTGTGAAAGCTGGAGCTTTTGGAAAGTCAGCAAGGCCATTAAAAGTATCTGGAAAATGGTCCCAGGTTGCATATTTTGGTGTCTTTGGACAGAAAGGAATCGAAGATGTTTTGATGGCATTTCAACTCCTATTCACTCTTTGAAAGCTAGATGTCTGGTGTATCTTTTTAGTTGGAGTAATATCTCCCCTGTAAATAATGTTATCCCCTTTCTAGACTTTATTGGCTCAATGAGCCTAGCCTGATGGCCCTTTTTTTTGGTTAGCTCCCTATGATTAGAATACCACATGATGTACTGGAGCTAACATCTCTTCTTTTGTACTAACTGCATCTTCTTGATGCCAGCAATACAACACCTTACTTCATCAAAAAAAATAAAAATAAAAATAATCAAGTATTGCTTTCTATTGAGCTTATTAACAAAAAAGGTATTTCTTAGGCTCAAAGGAAATTTCTGTGCTACTGGGTCGATAGTATAAGTTCGGAAAGCTAGAGCTGAATGTCTGATTGGAATAGTCAAGTGTAGTATTTCAGCTTGAGTATCAGAAGAGATTTTATTTCACATTTTGTCCAATTGTATTGACTAATATGGAGAAGAGAAGTCTACGAACTTTTGTGGTTCTCAGACACATGTTATCCGCATCTGGTGGATTAGCACAATTTTCTTGAAGATGGCCTGATCATTTTGAGCAGCTCTTTAGTTGCTTGTGTCTTATGATTGTTTGAACTAATGTTGAAGGATTGTATTCTGATGATCTTTTTCTGGCCCTTTTGCAGGATCCAATAATAAGTTGATTGTCTTCAACATCTGAACTACCTGCAAAAACTACTTGCGTGCACTTGCCAACTGATCCTAGGATTATACTTATATTTGGCTATGGTATTTCATCAAATTAAATATGTTGTTAGGTTTTCTTGATGTCATTTTCTCCCTATGTGCAAGTGAATTTGTTCTTACCTTTTCCTTTTTTTTTTTCTTGTGCTCGCGTAATTTAGTATGTTGTGCCATCCAACCTGTAGCACCTTATGTCATCTGTCAATTGATATTGTCCTTAATTTGGTGTTTTGGCATAGGCAACTAATGAAAATCTACCACCAAACGTGATAAAACAATTGGCGAAGGAATTGAAAAATCTTGACGAAACTCCTCCCGAAGGCATCAAAGTAGGTGTAAACGATGATGATTTTTCAACCATATATGCTGATATCGAGGGCCCAGGTATGGTATCTTTGTTGTCTATATTTCACTTTTTGAGACATAACACTTGTTCTAATTGCTCTATCCCTACCATGCAGCTGGAACCCCCTATGAGAACGGGGTTTTCCGCATGAAGTTGATTTTGACACACGATTTCCCTCATTCCCCACCCAAAGGTTTGTCTCCACATGCAATGTTTTTAAGTTTTTCCCGTGAGACTTGTATCTAGTTTAGCTTTGCATTAACTTTTGTTTTAATCAGTTGGGCCCTGTGTTAATCACAATTGAAGCGCCTAAGTCGTATTTTACCCTTCATTCCTTTGTTTTAGGAACTCTTTTTCACTTCCTATTCATTTAAATAGGTCAACTGACTTTCCTTTTGCGAGCTCTTTTTTTTCCATGATAAGTTACAATTGCTAATTCTTTAAGGAAGATCTTTGTCACTTCTCATGACATATTGCGGGAACAATTACCTTTTGCCAATGCTTAGGTCCAATATGGATGAGTACATATAACTTACATTTTTTGTTTTTCTCTCTAGGTTATTTTCTGACCAGGATTTTTCATCCCAACATTGCTTCCAATGGCGAAATTTGTGTCAATGCTCTGAAAAAAGATTGGAATCCTAGTTTGGGCCTACGACATGTTCTCATGGTAAGTGTCTGCTTTTTCTAAGTCAAATATCGAGCCTGCCTAGAGGACTTTAATAATATAAGTGTGAAGTGACCTTTTCCTTTCTTTGATTTGTTATTTGCTGTGGTCACTGCTTTGTAACAGGTGGTAAGGTGTTTACTGATCGAGCCATTTCCAGAATCTGCGTTAAATGAGCAAGCTGGTAAAATGCTGCTTGATAATTATGACGAGTATGCTAGACATGCAAGGTAAGTTAGTGTCTCCTAGTTTCACTCACTTCATTATGTCACCGTCACTTGTATGATGTTATTGCATCCTTATCTGGTATTACTCTGCCTTGCTTAATTATCCTGTATCTAAATGCCATTTTATTTATGGAGAGAACATGGTTTTGTTGTGCTTAAGTTGTATCTTATCTTTGTGGATTCATGGAAATGATGCTACAGTTCATTTTGATGCAAATAGGAAGTGATCATACATCTATCTGGTTTAATCAATTTATGATGACTAAAAAGATCCAAGCGAATCAACTCATGCTCATTTCTCTTTGTAGATGTAAAATGTGACGAGGTGGATGAAGTACCGTAAAATTAGCTTCTATCAAGTGTTTGTAGGCATAAATTTATGATGACTAAAAAGATCATCATAAGTTTAATCAATTTATGATGACTAAAAAGATCCAAGCGAATCAACTCATGCTCATTTCTCTTTGTAGATGTAAAATGTGACGAGGTGGATGAAGTACCGTAAAATTAGCTTCTATCAAGTGTTTGTAGGCATAAATTTATGATGACTAAAAAGATCATCATAAGTTTAATCAATTTATGATGACTAAAAAGATCCAAGCGAATCAACTCATGCTCATTTCTCTTTGTAGATGTAAAATGTGACGAGGTGGATGAAGTACCGTAAAATTAGCTTCTATCAAGTGTTTGTAGGCATAAACCTGGAATTCCTGCTTGTAATCCAACAGCTAAGTTGGATAGGGACTTTAAACCACTGTTGCTCACTAGAATAGCTTATGTGTTCGTGGGGAATATTGTTTCAATATAACTTATGACTAGCTCTCTTTTGTTGTAGTTTAAACCACTGTTTCAATCACTGAATGTACTTATTCACTGTCCACTGTGTTTAAACATGCAGGCTTTATACCAGTATTCATGCTAAACCAAAGACTAAGTTAAAAACAGGAGTTATATCCGAGTCGACTACAGCCCTAAATGTTGGCCAGACAAATACTTCACCGTGTAACGTTGATCAGAAGACTGCAATATCTGGAGTTACACCTCTCCAACAGCCTTCTCCATTAGCCCCTACAGCTAACATTGTAAAAGGAGGAAACAGTCTAGACCAGCCGCCAGCCCCAGGTTCAACTGCGGACTCAGCGGTTAGTGGATCAGCAGCACCACCATCGGTAACCCTGAAGAAGGAAGCTGGATTGCATAAACTCCCTGCAGATAAAAAGAAGATTGATGCAAGAAAGAAAAGCTTGAAGAGATTATAAACTTTGTTTTAAAGGGGGGACTAAATCTTGTTTTCTCTTGGTTGCTTTTATTTGATAGATAAAGAAACAGTTCTACAGAACTGAGCTTGTATTATGTCCTGATAAATGAAATGGATTCTTTGAGATGTTCCTTTCAAGTTTTATTGTTCATTATCAGTCTTGATTAATACCGACCCCTTGAATTTTTCTTCTTCGAAATTTAAAGTCTGTAGCTAGCAATGGTTGCAACTCAATCAGGCAATTGTAAGTTATAATAACTTGTGGTCGAAGGTCGCATCCGATTAAAAAGCGTGATTTGGAATATGAAATTGTGTTGCAATGTTGTTTTAGCGATTATCTGTTTTGTAACCAGACGTGGGCAATGTATGCATATTTCCTTCTTGTTTCAAGGAAAAGATTATGGTAGTGACCATCTCCTATCATAGGGTATCAACATTATACAATGGTTTATAATATAAGTTGGTAGGAGTATCTTAGATGATAAAGTGCTCAACTTGGAAATTAACAATGAACCCAAAGATGAAATTGATAGTCGTGGGAACTAGTAGAAAAAATAGAAAATTTAATGCTTAGATAAATATCAATTTACAGTGACAAATTTGGAAACATCAACTGCAAGTTGAACCAATAGCTTCAATTTTAACCAATAGATTCTTTAATCACAAGTGTTACCAACAAAAACCAGAAACCTCAAAGAAGATTTAGCATTTAATTCTTGGAAACAACAGCACAGGAATGCTGATAATGGAAATGCACTCATCAATTAAGAGGAGTACAAAAAAGAATATAGAGAAGAAGAAGAAAGATACTCCACCACTCTTACAATAAAGCGTACATTCATTCCAGGTCCAATACATCCAGATGGTACAACGAAACACATTACACTAGGCAAATCCTATCCAATGAAATATTTTTCACATTTTTAACAAGTCTAAACTTCAACTTCAATAAGAGATGGTGAAATTACTTGGCCATCATGACCTTAACAAACTCCTCATAGTTAATTTGACCATCACCATCGACATCTGCTTCCCTAATCATCTCATCAACTTCTTCATCAGTAAGCTTCTCCCCAAGGTTAGTCATCACATGACGAAGCTCAGCAGCGGAGATGAAGCCATTCTGATCCTTGTCGAACACTCTGAACGCCTCTTTCAGTTCCTCCTCGGAGTCAGTATCCTTCATTTTCCTGGCCATGAGGTTTAGAAACTCAGGGAAGTCAATGGTTCCGTTACCATCTGCATCCACCTCGTTTATCATGTCTTGGAGCTCTGCTTCGGTGGGGTTCTGTCCGAGCGACCTCATCACAGTCCCAAGCTCCTTAGTCGTGATGCAACCTATACAAAACTTCACAATTAGCTTACTATACGAAAAATACTTAACAAAACACATTTCTAACCATAACATTGGGTCAGTAAGCTACTTCCCAATTCAAACAAACATAAGAAAACGGTAGATGTACCACCTTCCAACTTATGTCCAGAAAATAACAAAGCTAAACGATCAATTCTGGGTAACTTATAAGCCCGTACCTATAATAAAAATAACAAAATCATTTGTTGATTAAACAAATCCAAATATACAAATCAGACGCCCTTTTTTAATCGTAACCCAGTAAATAAATTCAGAAGATGAAGTTTTCAACCATCTCACTAATCAGAATCTCCAAGTAGACACCAGAATCAGCAGTGCACCACACAAACGGATAACTATACTAAGAAGCTCCCTCAATTAATGTTACTTGTATTTTATATTTAAGGATCACAATAACATGAACTAGCATATCCAGTTCCAAAGTGGTAAATTACAAACAAAACTGCTTAGAATTCACATAACAGCTAAAAACGAATCTCCCCACGAGAGAACTAACATCATCCCTGACATACCATTCTTCCTCAAACAAATCTGTTGCCAGAATTTATATCAGTCTAATTTGGCACAAACAGAACGTAATATCTGCTCTTGTTTAACGTCATCATCTAAAAAGAAGAAAATGATTTCCTTCACTATGGGGAAAAACATGTTCCTTTTATAAATATATCATCTCTTTATGTTACTCATCCAACCAATACTAAGACATTATTATCAATCGTTAACACAAGACTGCATCAAATTTTCAATGCAAAACACTATCCATAATTGATGACACTATTATCAACCTTATATAAATAATTTCCATTTGAAAACATTTTCTGAGAAAACATTTACCGCAAACCTTTTTTTCTAGCGGTAACATTTACCACAAATAATATGTTGAGGAAAGCCTTTTCCTTCCTACCAAAAGACAATTGTTCCCAATGTTATCAAAGGCGAAAAGCGCAAAAAAGCTCTAAGGTCCATTGAGGCTTTAAGCGCAAAGCACAAATAAAGCATGGGCTTTAATGAAAAAAGGCGCAACTGGAGAAAAAGTAAAAATATGTATATGTAGTCCAAGACTAATAATTATAAGCATGAATAACAAATATATGGACAATGAAATTGAAAATAAATTAAGATAAAGTGAAATATCAAATGTTTAATGTCGCATTTTCAGGATTACACTCATTGGCAAAAATATGCCTTAGAGCCTTGATGCGACACTAAAGCGCCCACAAAGCAAGGCAAAACGCTCAACATGTTTTGAGCCTTGCTTTAGGGCTTAAGCGCACTTTAAGCGCACCTTTGACAATACTGATTGTTCCTCCAAACCAAAATCAGTTAAACCAAAACCCGCCATAGATTTAGAAAAGGATTTTTGGCAGCATTTAAAACAAGCTAAAACCACAAGATAAATGCCAACTCTATCATCAAAATTAGATTATCATTTCTCCTTCTATACCTAATCCAATTCGATTTACTCAACTTCTCGAAACGTCTCTTAATTAGTTTTAAAAAAATACAATAATCCACCAAAGTAACATCAAACTACAAGATTTCCATGTTCACTAGTTTTTTAGCATTTCCTCAAGCTAGGAGAGCAATTATTCCCTGTTAACCAAGTTAATATTTCTCATATATCAATCTGTCACCTTAAAAACCAAACACCAAAAGGACCAACACCTCAGAATCAATCCATTTATTAAAACCAAACGTCAGATCTGAAAATAAATTTGATTATAAACATCAAACACAAAATATATACTCCTTTTGTACTAATTTATGTGTCACACTTAATTTTTTTTAAGTTTTTCGCGCAAAGATTGATACATTTACGTATCTAGAAACAATTTCATCTTTAAAATTACCATTTTACCTTTGATAAGACATTTATAGTGATAAAATGAGATATTTATAGCCACAAAAATGTAAATTTCTTATTTTAGATCACAAGTTTAAAAAAAAAAAATCTTTCTTAAATTGGACATAGGCAGAGAGAGAGAAAATCGAACCATCTCCGTCCTTGTCGAATAGGCTGAAGGCCTCCTTGAACTCAGAGATCTGGTCATCGGTTAGCTGATCCGCCATTTTCTTCTTCAATTCAACGAAGATTGTTCTAGAATTTCAGACACAACAATCGTCTTTTCAATTCTCTTCGATTTCGGGCTAAGGGATGATTGCTGCTTTTATAACAATGACTACACTTTTTATGCTAAATATAATAAGTAAAAAAAATAGAAAGAAAGAATTGGATTAAAGAAGAATAAATAACAAAATTAGTAAAGACTTGTCTCTCTCCCTACATTATATGCGGACGTGATCGGTTTATTTGTTTCAATGTTTCCGTTTTTCCCGCTTTGCCCTTATCGTTTGCTTTATCATTTGCAGTTTTTGCACCCTACAAGTTTTTGTCATAATGTAAAAATATAGTTTAGGAAACAATCTTATGAAAAGCAAAAAATTAATTATATTTATCCATCTTAATAAACTTATTTCACTTACTAAACCTCAATTTTGTGCGATTTCACTTATAGTTTGGAAGTGTATGTTGTAAGACTTTGAGGAATATACAAAAATAAATAAAGTTGCAAACTTCCTCACTTTAAAATGCTTATAAGAATTTTAAACTTTTGAGAAGTAAATTAAGACAAATATTTAATTTGGCGTGGATCAAACAATATTTTTAAGCGAACTTTCGTATATAATATAAATAATAGTACTTGATATTTTCAATTGGATACTTGGTTGATATTTTTTTTATATGTTGTTGGTTAATTTTTAATCGAGTGTAAATATCAATCTAAGTCTTTTTCTAAATTTTAGTGGATTAATTATGGCAACAAATATTGTACTACTCTACCAAAGTGTATATTAGACAATTAAAAATAACTAAAAGCACTTTCAACTTTTTGAGTTATGTCAATCTCTTTTTAGCAAATTGGTATTATATCAACCTATGGAATTAAATTCTCTCTCCATTACATATATAGATGATTCTTTTATTATTATATAAAATTCAAAGAAATAGACCACAAATAAGTGTTGATAGCATCTCTTTAACCAGTTTGATTTTATTGAAGAAGTGCGCGAGAAACAAGATATTCTTATTGAAAGCAAATATTATTTCAATTTATTCTACTTATCTCTATTTTTTCGAATACCATAGATTTACTTAATAACACTACTTTTTTATCAAAAAATAATAACTGGGGATGTAAAAGCTGTTATAATCTCTTCAAAATATTACTCCTATTATCAAAGGGGTAAAACAGTAAACTCAAAAAGCAAGTCAAACATAAAGAAACAAAAGAAGTGTACGAACTAGTGTCATGTGGTTCCATCATTAGATCGCACATCATCTCAGCGACCACTTATTGTGTGCCACGTGTATTCCGATTTTCTCATTTTTTCTTAATTTCAATTTCTATCTTTTTCTTAAAAACATTAGAAAGGCAAATGAATAAAAGAAAAAGGCCCATATTTCTCTCTCTTCCATTAGAGAAAACGCGGTTACGCGTTTCTTACGCGGTATGCTTACGTTGACCTAAAGCGAAGGGTGGCTGCCACGTAGGATTATGTCGTTTTCGCTATAATTGGACAAAAAGAAAGAAATAAACTCTCCCTTGCACCCCCGAACTTATTCATATTTACTGATTCTCCACTCCCTTAACCTTCTTTTTGTTATAAATATATTATATTATGGATGTTCATTAAATACTCCGTTGTAAATAAACTTTCTGAAGAAGTTTATCCATATGAGACTCTACCATAACTATGTTTATCTATTTAAGTACTCTATTGGAAATAAGCTTCCTGAAGAAGCTTATCACTTTGATACCCGGTTATGGATAAACATTACCCCCGGTAGAAGATTATCCATACCGGATATAATAAGCTTATCCTTTCAGTACTCAGTTATGGATAAACATTACAACCGGCAGAAGATTATACATACCGGATATAATAAGCTTATCCTTTCAGTACCCAGTTATGAATAAATATTATCCCCGGTAGAAGATTATCCATACCGGGTATAATAAGCTTATCCTTTCAGTACCCAGTTATGGATAAATATTACCCTCGGTAGAAGATTATCCATATCGGGTATAATAAGCTTATCCTTTCAGTACTCCGTTATGGATAAACATTGCTCTCAGTAGAAGATTATCCATATCTGGTATAGTAGCAGCTTACACAACAGCTTCCTTTCTTCTATAAATAGAAGAGATTTCAGTTCATTATGTACATCAGTTTGAATTCGAATAATATATCAGTTTCTCTCTATATTTGTCTTTACTTTATAGTCTTTATTTTATAACACGTTATCAGCACGAGACTCTGCCATCTCGAGCAAATATTTTGAAAGTATCTGAGGTAAGAACTTTCTTTTCCTAAATAATGTCAAATCTTTCTAAACTTGAATTTGTAGCCCTGGATATATCGGGCAAAAGCTACATGTCTTGGGTGCTTGATGCTGAAATTCATCTTGATGCGATGGGTCTGGCAGACACCATCAAAGACAAAAATCAGGCATCAAACCAAGACCGTGCCAAATCAATGATATTCCTATGCCATCACCTTGATGAGGGCCTGAAAATGGAATATCT